CAACTTATTGATCGACATTCAGCACTACAAACGTCGCATAAGGAAGATTCCGACCGCATTCCATTCACTCTCACGTTTCACCCTCACAACCACTCAGTTAAATCCATCATTCTTAAAAACTTTAAATTACTTCAAAACGATCCAGAGACAAGCACTATCTTTTCGCAGCCTCCGCTCATTTCATTCAAACGCGACAAAAACATAGGCAATTTTTTGGTCAGAAGTTCTTTTCAGACTAATGACCAACCAGGCACTTTTAAATGCGCTCGTGCACGATGCAAAACGTGTCCTTTCATTCACAACACTGATAAAATATCGGGACCTAAACGATCCATTAAGATCACCGATCACTTCACGTGCACCTCCGCCAATGTAATCTATTGCATAACTTGCACTTATTGCAAAAAGATATACATCGGCGAAACAGGCAGAAGACTAGGTGACCGATTCCGAGAACACCTTCGAGACGTGGAAAGGAATGACAAGGACACATCGAAACCAGTCGCTAGACATTTTAATTTACCTAATCATTCTAAGCAACATATGGCAATCTGCGGTCTTTCCTTACACTTAGGTAGCACGGAAAGCCGTAAAACTCTTGAACAAAAGCTCATCTTTCAAACCGGCAGTCTAAATCCCACAGGTATCAAGGAACGCTTTTCATTCCACTAATTTATTCGTGTTTTTCTCGTTGCCATGTTCCCACCAATAACGTAGCTCCATTTTCTGCCTTTAAAAGCACACACAACCCACAATTCCTCTATTCGCTCCGACGAAGGGCTAACGCTCGAAACGTCACGGTGGCCAATTTACCATTTCAACTTTGTTGATATATTCAAATTAATATCTGTTTGTATATTGTCGCCCGACACTGAAAAGACTAGACTAGAAAAAACAAAGTTACAAAGGTAATCACATATCGGTCCCGCTTGCGCCAGAGGTTGAGAAAACGAAAGGGCGAAAGACTATTCGAAACTTACGAAGAACTGATCAAAGGGACGCTAAACTTGCCTTTTAAGTGCGCGTGGTGACGCTGAAAGGTCCAGTTACAAAACCAGTGGAATACAGAAAAACAGATAAACATTGTAACTGTGTACGTATCTAAGATCATCCTGAAATTAGGGAACTAATCAATAATCAATCAAAGGTTCTTTTTGACTGATGAGGCTCGAAGAGCGAAATATATTTTCAAGATTCTTAAAGTATTGTTTTTTTATTTTTACAGTTTCTATACTGCGTCGAATGTGATACTCGAGACGTGATGTCTTACTCTGCAAGTAGTTCAAGTTAATAAAAAAATGAGCCTTTTGACTAGTGTCCTTAACAGACATAACAGACCTTCATTTCTAGAAATGATAGAAAGTGCGTGGCTCTGAGGAGAAACGGAAGGGATTTCAGCTGGGGGGAGTCCTACAAGGCTTGCAGGGTCTTCTTCGTTTCCTTTATAACATTACGACTTTGTTACGGATTCAAGATTTCACCGCATGTGTGTGAAAACTGAAACATTTCTGATGGAGGGCAATCAATCCATAAATTTCAAGTTTATCGCGATTACTCCCGAGAAAAAGGAAAAGAGCTGATTTTGAAAAATCAAGTTGTACCCCTAAGCCACAAATTACATTTTTAGGGCGGTGTAGAATATTCAAATTTTAACAATCTGTTGTTGTTCTCGTAGTTCGCGGTTCGCTCAATCATTCGAGACAGAATAAAGGCTCGTTTCTAAAAAAGCAACATTTAATAACAACAACATTACCACTCCATCTTGAAGGCGTGCTCATTCCATTCTTCTTCTAACCACAATACATTGCAAACATAATCGTGACGCGACGTCACGACATGTGTAACGACATCCGCGTCAGGGCGGCGAAGAAGTCAAAGGCATCATCTTTCTCATGCATCACGCTACTCTCCCGGTTTCAACATTGATGGCGTGACCGGCACACACGAGTTAC